GTGGGATTTGTGGACTTTTTTGGAGATATATTGGACTATCTTTAAAATTTAAATTCCTTCAGTTCTTTTTTTCTAAATATTGTTTTCCGGTTGTGATGTGCAGGTAGCATCTGATGCAGCGTTTAGCATAGCCGTGACATCATTGAAACTAAACGACATGGTTGGTCCTCACCGAGTTAAATGTGTAAACAATTGTGCTTATGCTATTTATTTTCCATAGGGTTTGATTCCTTATAACAAGTAAGTAAATGTTATTCTCTTTCTTGTAAAGTGAATTATTTTATACTTTCCAATATGCTCAAATTTTTCTTTTTGTAATGTTGAATCCGTCTATCACTCCCAATTTACACTTTGCTACTTTCTCAGATTTGGTTTTGGTTAGATACTAACATATTGTAGAAGCAGTGAAGCTCAACACAATGTTTTTGTTTAAAGAATAAGGGAAAAATCAGTTTGTGTCAAACAGAGATCAGGAGTTCGCTCTGCCAGTTGGTGTGACTGGTGCTTGGTGCTTGTAAAGTTGGTGTTTGGTGTAGAGGAGCAGCTCAGAGAATAAGGAATAAGGGGTTGACAATATGAAGAAAGCGGAAAAGGTTGAGCGTGGCGCGTTGCTTAAATGCGATGAGACATGTGATACAGTGTTTCACTATTGCAAGCAGTCTCCTGTTTGCTGGTCCAAAAGAAGACATGAAAGAGAGTGTTGTAATTTATATATGAGGAAAATATGGGATTATATTCCTCAGTTCTACAAAAACTAAAAGCAAAAATACTGGGTAGAACTCGTTAGGTCCATGGATGGTGAAAGATGTTCTTAAGCGTTTAAGCGTTACAATTCTGAGTGTGTGTCATCACAGTATAAGGGTAGACTAGGAGGAGACTTGTGAAACAAACCACATGTTGTGAGTTTGTGTTTTCCTGGGTAGTTAGGAAGTCTCTATTGACAGTTGTGTAAGTGTTAAGATGCATGAATGAATAAAAAAACATTCATATGATTGATACTAGTGTTGTTACTCTGTTATCTCTCTGTTACACTACTTCTCTGTGGCTATATCTTGTACAGATACCTTCAAAAATAGAAAACCTAGCGATTTGAAAGTATTTTTGAAATCGACATCGTAACAGTTGAAACCTTGAAACCTCAACAATTTGATGGAAAAATCTATTTGAATTTAAGTTTCATGATTTTTTAATATGTTACTAGTGAGTGAAAATGATAGAAATAATATGTCACAACAAACAGTGTACCGTGAACCAAAATTTAAAGAAAGGGTATTTCGGTCTTTTTTATGGGTGTAAACCCTAAACCTAGCTCCCTAATCACCTATTTAAGTGGTGCTCGTGGCTAGTGGTCAGAGGAAGAGAATTGTGATAGCGAAGCCCTATCATTTTTGCTATAGCCGTCGTTTCCTTCTGAAATTCCAGTTCTGAGTGGCTAGTTTGCAAGGCATATTCCTAACGGCTTAGAAGGATCTAGGTCGTAATCTTTTTATCTCTGGAAAGATCATGGATTATAGTTTCTGTAGCTTCTTTCAGGTTTGAAGTATGAGATCCGATCAACGAACTTGCGGGCTTATTTACCGTCATTCTGTAAGAACCCAGGAGACGATCTAGATACCATTGGAAAGCCCCGAGTCTTGGCTTTCCAGAGACATTGAGTTCCGTTTAATCTGTGGTTTGGATTTGAGACACTAGTTTCAGCCATTTTTCCTTTTGAACTCAGTTTTTTGGACGTGATCGCTA